ACAATGAGGCCTGATGAAGGCAACTCTGAAAAAGGGTATTTAAAAACATAAAAGCACTATCTTTGCTTCAAAGAGAGCCAGTAGGATACATTCCTTTCTGACAGATGCATTTCACACCTCAAGAATTAACATTTGTTTAGCAGGATGTATCCCTTCCTGAGAGAAATGCTCCCCCAAAGTAACTAAAAGGTGGACCCAAAACATAAACAACCAGAATGGTAAACAAGAGCCAGGAATTTAGAAAGTGTAACTACACCAGGAATGATTGAGAACAAAGATAAACACCTATCTTTTCATAACCTTGAGCTCAGACTCCCCAGTGCCTTTATCATGTACATACCCCTGATGCCAAAGAGCAATCTTTCCTCTAGAGCACCCACACTGTTAATAAAAGAGTCTATCTCTGCCTTTCTGCTTGCCTGTTTGCTTGCTCATTTTCCTATTCAATAAAGCTCTACCCAGTTTTCTTACTATTGTAATTTTTTTTTTTTTGCCAGTCATGGGGCCTGAACTCTGGTGCTGTCCCTCAGCTCTTCAGCTCAAGGCTAGCGCTCTTACCACTTGAGCCACAGCTCCACTTCTGGCTTTTTCTGCTTATGTGGTGCTGAGGAATCGAACCCAGGGCCTCATGCATGCAAGGCAAGCACTCTACCACTGAGCCACCTTCCCAGCCCCCTTACTATTGTAATTTGTCCATAAATTCTTTTCTTTGTCTTTTGTTGGTTGAGAGGCTTGAACTCATGGCCTGTGAGTGGTCCCTGAGCTTTTTTTGCTCAAGGTTAGTGTTTTAGTGCTTTAAGCCACAGCACCAGTTCTGTTTTTCGAGTGGTTAATTAGAGATAAGAGTGTCATGAACTTTTCTGCCAGGGCTGGCTTCAAACTGAGATCTTCAGATCTTAGCTTCCTGAGTAGCTAGGATTATAGGCATGAGCCCTCAACTCAATTGAGAGTAATTTTTAAAAAAATTGAGTCTGGCATGGTGGCTCACACTTGTAATACTAGTTACTAAAGAAGCTGAGATCTGAGGATAGCAGTTCAAAGCTAGCGTGGGCAACAAAGTCTGTGAGGCTCTTATCTCCAATAAACCACCAGAAAAACCAGAAGTGGCCTTGTGGCTCAAGTAGTTGAGTGCTAGCCTTGAGCTGAAGAGCTGAGGGACAGTGCCCAGGCCCAGAGTTCAAGCCCCATGACCGGAAAAAAAAAAAAGAAAAAGAAAAGAAAAAAAGAATTGAGCAATGTACACAACCAAGTAGGGCCAAAATGAAGACCTGAGGGATAAGGAAATCTAGATGCTTGGAGGTACTATCAGTACTTTACTGAGCGTATCAGCTTCAGAGTCCTTAAACAATGACAAGAATTCTGCATTCTGGGGTAAGGAAGGTGGCTCAGTGGTAGAGGGTTTGCATGCATGAGGCCCTGGGTTCGATTCCTCAGCACCACATAAGCAAAAAAAGAAAAAAGCCGGAAGTGGCGCTGTGGCTCAAGTGGTAGAGCACTATCCTTGAGCTGAAGAGCTGAGGGACAGCGCCCAGGCCCAGAGTTCAGGCCCAAAGATTGGACCAAAAAAAAAAGAATTCTGCATTCTCTAAAGACTCTCAGGGCAAAGCCCTTTATTATTTTTTTTGTTTTTTGTTTTTTGCTGCCCATCTTGGGGCTTGAACTCTGGGCCTGGGCACTGTCCTTGAGCTTCTTTTGCTCAAGACTAGCACTCTACCACTTGAGCCACAGCGCCACTTAAGCTTTTTCTGTTCATGCGGTATTGAGGAAATGAACCCAGGGCTTCACGCATGCTAGACAAACATTCTACCACTAAGCCACATTCTCAGCCCGGCAAAGCCCTTTACTGAAACTGATTATGAACTTAGGTGTAAAACTAATGGCTCATCTAAGGTATTCTTTATCTTTCTGGAGAGTGGGGATCTACACCTGTAATTCCAGCTATTTGAAAGGCTGAAGCAGAACTTCAAGGAAGCCAGAACTTCAAGGAAGTCAACCAGGAGAAGTTAGTGAGACAGTGAGACTTTGTTTGCAAGTAAAATTCTAAAAGATAAACCCGCACCTGTGGCTTACACCTATAATCCTAGCTACTCTGGAGGCTGAGGTCTGAGGATCACTGTTCAAAGCCAGCCTGGACAGAAAAGTTCCCAAGAGACATCTCTAATTAACCTCTCAAAAACAGGAAATGGTGCTGTGGTTCAAGTGGCAGAACGTTAGCCTTGAGTACAAAGAGGTTCAAGAACAATGCCTCAGCCCTAAGTTCAAACCCTACAACTGACAAAAAATTAATAATAAAGAGGGAGAATTGGAACAGAAGAATAGAAATATGGATAATTTAAGTAATCTTGGGCAAGCTGTTGTCCAGTAGATCCTTATCCAAAATGGTAATTCTGATATCTTCAAGTTCCTTATCTCTTGAGAGAACAAGATGATTCCGATGTGATGACTGCTCCTGCTTTGAAGGTCATCTCATCAGGGGGTAATCTGTCCCAGAGGCCCTGCTGTTCTGGAAATACAAAGTGTGGGTTTAGAACAATGACTCTAGATTTTCTGGCTGCCTTTTCCAGGATCTGGACCAGGACATAGTAAAAGCTGACACAGATACTCTTCCCTCTTATCTTTGTGTCTTCAGCCTTGATGAGAGATGCCAAGGTGAGATAGCCCAGATTTTAGATAAGCTACTCCTTGAATTATTAATATGCCTACACAATGAGGTAAGAAGTCTGACTCACTGAAAAGTGGCACTAGCCTTGAGCAAAAGAAGCTCAGGGACAGTGCCCCAGCCCTGAGTTCAAGTCCCAGGTCTGGAAAAAAAAGAATGGAAGAGAAAAACTTCAAAGTAAGCATTCCAAGCTCAAATAAGCAAGCCAGTTCTTTTCAGCATCCTTCCTGACGTCTGCCCCTTCATTCCTGCTGCTTTTAGCCACTATCAGGATCTACAGCTGTAAATAGCCCTAGCTCAGCAGCAGCTGCTGTAGCCCACCTCTCCAGGAAAGGAGCTAATTTCCTTCTTCCTTTTTTTCCCCCTTGTGCTGGTGCTAGGCTTGAAGTCAAGGTCTTGAGCTTCAGCTTGATTTTTCTGCTCAAGACTGACACTCTATCACTTGATCTACAATTCTGGTTTTCTTCTGGTTAATTGGAAATAAGAGGCTAATGTATGGAGGTGAAAAAAATCTATTTTCAGGGCTGGGAAGGTGGCTCAGTGGTAAGAATGCTTGCTTTGCATGCATGAGGCCCTGGGTTCGATTCCTCAGCACCACATAAGCAGAAAAAGCCGGAAGTGGCACTGTGTCTCAAGTGGTAGAACGCTAACCTTGAGCTGAAGAGCTCAGGGATGGCGCCCAGGCCCAGAGTTCAGGCCGACATGACCGACAAAAAAAAAAAATCTATTTTCACAAATACAAAATGTTCAGAGCTAGGTATTGATGGCTCATGCCTCTATACTCAGGAGGCTGAGACCTGAGGATCTTGGTTCAAAGCCAGCCTGAGCAGGAAAGTCCCTAAGACTCTTATCTCCAATAAACCACTCAGAAAATCAGAAGTGGCACTGTGGCTCAAGTGGTAGAGCGCTAACCTTGAGCTGAAGAGCTCAGGGACAGCTCCTAGGCCCAGAGTTCAAAGCCCCATGACAAATAATTTTTTTTTTTTTTTTGGGTCCGGTCGTGGGGCCTGAACTCTGGACCTGGGCGCTGTCCCTCAGCTCTTCAGCTCAAGGCTAGCGCTCAACCACTTGAGCCACAGCACCACTTCCGGATTTTTTTTTTTTTTTTTTTTGCTTATGTGGTGCTGAGGAATCGAACCCAGGGCCTCAGGCATGCAAGGCAAGCGCTCTACCACTGAGCCAACTTTCCAGCCCTCAAATAATTAAAATTAAAATTAAAAGAAAATTAAAAAATCTCAGGAGACTTTCATCTCCAATTAATCACCAAACACTGGAAGTGAATATGTAGCCCAAGTGGTAGAGCACTAGCCTTCAGTGGAAAAAGTCAAGGGAGAGCACAAGGCCATAAGTGCAAGCCTCAATACCAGCAAACACACAAAAATACATTTTACCCTGAAACTCCTATAGTTTTCATTGCTATGAAAAGTAATTTTACATTTTAGAAACCAACCTATGCTTAATCTTAGTGATTATATGTATTTACTTTTTTATTTTTTATTTTATTTTATTTGGGGGGGGTCTGGATATGGGGCCTGAACTCTGGGCCTGGGCGCTGTCCCTCAGCTCTTCAGCTCAAGGCTAGCACTCTACCACTTGAGCCACAGCGCCACTTCTGGCTTTTTTCTTTTTGCTTATGTGTTGCTGAGGAATCGAATCCAGGGCCTCATGCATGCAAGGCAAGCACTCTACCACTGAGCCACCTTCCTAGCCCCTTATTTATTTTTTAAAAATGTAAGTTCTACGGTTTTTCTATTGATTATTCTCTCAAAGTTTCTCATATTCATTATACATCTGGTTAAACTGTGTGTGTGTGTGTATATATATATATATATATGTATATATATATATGTGTGTGTGTGTGTGTGTGTATATATATATATTTTATGAAGGGCCTGAGATGTTTTTCAATATGATTTTAACACTGTTGAAGGAGCCAAGCACCAGTGGCTCACTCCTGTAATTCTAGCTACTCAGGAGGCTGAAATCTGAGGATAAAGGTTCAAAGCCAGCCCAGGCAGGAAAGTCCCTGAGACTATTTTCTCCAATAAGAAACCCAGAAGTGGTGCTGTGGCTCAAGTGGTAGAGCGTTAGCCTCAAGCTGAAGAGCTGAGGGATAGCACTGAGGCCCAGAACTCAAGGCCCCCCCCAAAAAAAAATAAAAATAAAAAGCTGTTGAGGTCAAATACTTCAAAGTCATCAATCTAATAAAGTTAAATACAATAAAGTTGGCAAAGTCATAGACATTTCCAAAATCACCTTTATTTGTTCTGGACATCTCTGAGGAAAAGTTAGCTCCTCAGAGTGGTCTTGTAGGTCTAAAATTACATTGTCTTCCCCCTCTTCAAGTCCCCAGTGTTGCTTTTTGTCCTTTTATCTTAATGTTATTTCTCTGAATGGTAGTTTATCTTCATCTGACATATTTTGTTTGTTAACAGATTCAAGGGCTGTGTTGTAAATTTGTTCTGATTTTTCAGTAGTCACTTCTAATCCAGCATGTTAAAAGACACCCAAGGTGCTCAGCAATTGCCTTGTGTTCAGTTTCTGGATGCCTCCTGGCACACGCATAGTATGTTAGTAATGAATTTTTTCCCCATCAGCCTTTTCTGAATCTTTTGACATGGTAAAGCTTGCTGTCCGCAGAGAGTAGCGTACCTCCATGTAGGAACTTTTCAGTCAGCGAAGACTCCTTAAAGGAAATACAACTAGCCAGCAAAGGGAGGGAGGAGGGGGAAGGTTAGAGGAAGGTAACTAAATAGTTGCTTCAATGGGACATTCTCGGGCTAGATGTCCAGACTGACCACAGCGGAAGCAGTTGATCATAGTCATTTTGCTACAATGTGCCGCCATGTGACCATTTTTACCACATCGATAACACTTGATTTGGGTACAGTCTTTCTGGATATGCCCATATTCACCACAACAGTAGCATTTCTGCTCTTCCTGTTGATCACACTCGCGAGCTAGATGGCCTGGTTTGCCGCAGATGTAACAGCATTGTTCTCGTTTCGTCTGCACACAGTCTTTGGAGATGTGACCTTTTCTCCCGCAGTTGTAGCACAGGTCCTGGAGAAAGTCACAGTCCTTGGCGTGATGACCAGTTTCACCGCAGCGGTAACAGATGTCAAACTGGGAGGTGGAACTACACCCGAGTCCTAGGTTTTGGCTTTTTTGTCCTCCTACTCGGCTTCCTGTTTTAGGACAGTCTCGGGCCCAGTGGCCAGAGCGTCCACACTTGTAGCATTCGGTCCCGTTCATGGCTGCGGGGAGATGTTAACTGTGAGCAAGCTCACCCACCGCCGCCACGGAGCCCCAGAGGCAACTACTCTTCCAATGGCTGAGATGGAAATGTCTATTTCAGTCCTGACAGGGGACCCTCTATGATGTCACTTGTACTTTGCACACGGCCTGAGGCTTGAGGTTGATGCATGCACCAGCACCCTCATCAATGGCATCGTTATACTGCCCGCTTTTTTTTTTGGAGGGGGGGTTGGTTGTGGGGCTTGAACTCAGGGCCTACATGCTCTCTAAGCTCTTTTACTCAAGGCTACTGCTCTAACCATTTGAGCCACAGCGCCACTCCCAGTTTTCTGGTGGTTAATTGGAGCTAGGACTCACACATGCAAGGGTGCCGGTGGCTTATACCTGTAATCCTAGCTACTCAGGAGGCTGAGATCTGGGGATCCCTGTTCAAAGCCAGCTCTGGGAGGAATTTCCAATTAATTACCAGAAGACCAGAAGTGGCACTGTGGCTCATGTGGTAGAGCACTAGCCTTGAGCAAAAGAAGCTCAGGGACAGGGACTGGGAAGGTGGCTCAGTGGTAGAGTGCTTGCCCCGCATGCATGAGTCCCTGGGTTCGATTCCTCAGCACCACATAAGCAAAAAAGAAAAAAGCTGGAAATGGCGCTGTGGCTCAAGTGGTAGAGCGGTAGCCTTGAGCTGAAGAGCTGAGGGACACCGCCCAGGCCCAGATTTCAAGCCCGATGACCTACAAAAAAAAAAAAAGTCTCATGTACATTCCCGGTTGGGATTACAGGTATTGTGTCACTGGCGCCCAGCTAAGACCACTGTTTTTTTTTTTTTCTTTTGGGTCTGGTCGTGGGGCCTGAACTCTGGGCCTGGGCGCTGTCCCTCAGCTCTTCAGCTCAAGGCTAGCGCTCTACCACTTGAGCCACAGCACCACTTCCGGCTTTTTTCTTTTTGCTTATGTGGTGCTGAGGAATCGAACCCAGGGCCTCGAGCATGCAAGGCAAGCACTCTACCACTGAGCCACCTTCCCAGCCCCTAAGACCACTGTTTTTAAACATTGCTCAGGTTTGGCTATAAAAGGCTTTCCCTTTACACTACCTTGCCCTTTTACCTTCAGGGAAAAAGAAAAAAAAGAAAAAGAAATTATTTTACAACAAATGGGAAATTGTCATGACCAGAATGTCTAACCACAAAGCAGTAACTATAGTATAAGGATTCTTATGTATATTAACCACTCTTTCCACTAGGCGGAGCAACTAAACATTTCTGGACTGTTTCTTGCTTGTACCTAGCTCTTCAGCTCAAGGCTAGCGCTCTACCACTTGAGCCACAGTGCCACTTCCAGCTTTTTCTGCTTATATGGTAATGAGGAATGGAACCCAGGGCCTCATGCATGCAAGGCAAGCACTCTACCACTGAGCCTCCTTCCCAGTCCCCTTTTTTCTTCCTTCCTTCCTTCCTTCCTTCCTTCCTTCCTGCCTTCCTTCCTGCCTGCCTTCCTGCCTGCCTTCCTCCCTGCCTTCCTGCCTGCCTGCCTGCCTGCCTTCCTGCCTTCCTTCCTTTCTTTTTCTTTCTTTCTTTCTCCTTCCTTCCTTCCTTTCTTATTTTTTTCCAACAGTTGTGGGGTTTGAACTTTGAGCCTGAGTATTGTACCTGAGCTCTTCCTGCTCAAGGCTAGGGCTGTACCACTTTAAGCCACAGTTCTAATTCTGGTTGTTGAGCCACAGGACCACTTCTGGTTTTCTGGTGGTTAATTGGACATAAGAGTCTTACACACTTTCCTGCTTGGGCTGGCTTTGAACCGAAATCCTCAGATCTCTCCCTTCTGAGTAGCTAGGATTACAGGAATAAGACACTGTTGTTCAGCTTCTTCCCCTCCTCTCCCCTCTCCTCCCTCTCCCCTCCCTCCCTCCTTTCCTCCTCTTTCTTTCTCTTTCTTTCCTTCCTTAACTTCCCTCTTTCTTTCTTTCTCTTCCCTTCCTTTCTCTTTCTTTCTTTCCCTTCCTTCCCTTTCTTTCTTTCCCCTCCCTCCCTCCCTCCCTCCCTCCCTCCCTCCCCCCTCCCTCCCTCCTTCCCCCCTCCCTCCCATTTTCTTTCTTCCTTTCTCTTTCTTTCTTTTTCTTTCTTTTTTTCTTTTTCTTTCTTTCTTTCTTTTCTTGCCTGTGGCTTGAACTCAGTACCTGGGACTGTTCCTTAGTTTTTTTTTTTGGGTCAGGTCGTGGGGCCTGAACTCTGGGCCTGGGTGCTGTCCCTCAGCTCTTCAGCTCAAGGCTAGCACTCTACCACTTGAGCACAGTGCCACTTCCGGCTTTTTTTCCTTTTTGCTTATGTGGTGCTGAGGAATCGAACCCAGGGCCTCAGGCATGCAAGGCAAGCGCTCTACCACTGAGCCACTTTCCCAGCCCTGTTCCTGAGTTTTTGTGCTCAAAACTAGTGGTCTACCACTTGAGTTACAGCTCTAGCTCCACTTCTGGCTTTTTGGTGTTTAATAGGAGATAAGAGTCTCATGTATTTGCCTGCCTAGACCGGCTTCAAACCAAGATTGTCAAATTTCAGCTTCCAGAGTTGCCAGTTTTTGTTTTTTAAAATTGTATGCTTCAGAGAATCTACAAAACAGAGCAATGATAGACAGATGACACAGGACTCAAAATTCCTGAAGGTTGAAAAATGGAAGATACATAGGTGGTAAAGTTACTTTAGGAATCAGGATCCTTACAGGAAATACAAAGTCGCAGTGAAATCTGCCCACTGCAAGAGAAAGACAACACTCCACTGCTAAATCTACATATGCACATTTCATCCCTTTTTTGGGCCTGTACTGAGTTTACTCAGGGGCCAGGTGCTGTTCCTTAGCTTTTTAGCACAAAGTTGGCACTCTACCACTTGAACTAGACCTTCTCTTTTGGATTTCTTCTTTTTTTTTTTCTGGTAGTGGGGCTTGAACTCTGGGCCTGAGCACTTTCCCTGAGCTCTTTTGTACTCAAGACTAGTGTT